TTTTACATTTTTAGGTATACAAATAATAAATGACTATGTCCTCATTGTATAAAACAACCCATTCACTGTCTTATAACTTAATTTTGCCATTTCAGAACACAGTTGTGTGTATGTTTACCATTTTCCCATCTAATTCAAGATTCTGCTAAAATAGAATAGCTTTTCAATCCCTGAACAGTGTTCCATTGTCCAGTGCATTTTTATACAACCAATGTTTAGCCAATCCACTTTACTAGACAATTAAGTTGTTTCCAACTGAGCTTGGATGAACCAGCCCTTTGGTGTTTTTTTGGTATAAGTTTCTAGAGGCATATTGGTTGAGTTAAAGAATACAAACACTTTTGAAGGAAGATATTACAAATTGCCTAATTATCCTCAGAAAGTCATAGCATTTTCTAGGTCCACCAGCAGTGTGTGACACTGCTCATTTCTCCATACCTTCTCTAAGTTTACAATTTATAATGTTAAAATTATAAATTTTAAAATTGTAAATTTTAAAATATTTTGTTTAAATATCTTTGTTCAACTGGTAAACAAATATTGATTTAAAATTTAATTTCCTGGAGTACTAGTGAGATTGACTCAAAAATTTTTCATGTTTCAAATATGTATTGACCATTTTTATTTATTACTTGAAATGGTATCATCAAAAAAGGAAACTGAGGTTCAGAGAAGTTAAATGACTTGTTCAAGGACACACAGCTTCTATGAGGCAGACAACTTTTTTTTTTCATAAGAAAATGGAAATGAAATGGAATTGTTCTTCAGTTTGTCAGAGTGAGCAAGAAAGCCCATGGGTCAAAGTTCTGTTGAAACCAAGAGTTCAAGGACATCTAAACTAATTGATAAGTCTCTTCAGGCCAAATCATCCTTATAAAATATTACTTGGAGAATTATTGTGAAGATTTAATGAAATACGGTTCTTTTACTCTTTAATTTATAATTCTGAGATAAATTAAATCCAGATCAAGATTGGAAAATGAAGAGACTGCTAAAAAGGGTGTCTGAATATGCTGACAGCATCCTTCTTACCCTCCATCAGTCATGAATGGCTGCACAGCTATAGAAGCTGGAGGAGACCCTGGTACCCTGTGACGTTCTTCTCCCCATTACCACAGCATAAGGACAAAGCAACCAACTACATATGTTTTCAGATGGTAAAATGCAACCAGCATACTATTTCTAGAGATGCTCAGAAGCTGATGCCTTACTTTTTGTTTCTGAATGCTTTTTTTCATTTCTATCCCAATTAATGTATAAGGCCAGGCTGTTACCTGCTGGTTTAACCTGTGTGTCAAAGTCAAAGTGTCTTTTCTTTAATAACTAACAAGAGAGTCCATGAGTCAACAATTAAAAAAAAAAGAAACAATAACAATAAAGGAAACACCAGTGTGACTGAAATGTTAAACACACACGCACACACACACACTGGCAAAATATAATCTAGCAAGAATTGGCCAAAGGTTTATTTCAGCAGAATGAAGGCATTTGACAGGGCTCCTGAGAAAAGGGAAATGTTAACATCTATTGGAGGGGAAAAAATCCTAGCAACTCCTTCTACTGCCTTTAAGGTCTTATCCCAGGAGAGCAAAGTTTTTGTTCCAGAAACTGAGTGGTCAAGTTCCTGTCAGGTAGAGCTTACAAGGGAAATGCCTCTTAACTCTTGTCCAATTTGAGATCATTTGTGTCCACCACTCTAACAGGCCAAGAAGGCAAAAAAGAATAGAACTGAAGCACTAGTGGTCTCCAGTCTCCCCTCTCCCCAAAGTGAAGCTTCCTATACCATTTCTTGTCTTATGCAGTGAAATCACATAGAATAGGTGCCAGTAGCAGCAATGGGGAGAGAATTTGAGAGTTCCATCACTGCCCCATAAAACGTATACAGTTTCCACTTGAGCACAGCACTTTAGGACATAAGAGTTTCCTGGGTATGGATGGATGGATTCTTGAAGATCTGGCATGAAGTAAAATTCACATAACTCAAGAGTAATTTCCCCATAACAATTCTGTATTTGTTCCCCATATATGAGGTTGTGGTTTGTGAATTTAGCTTGAGCACTAGGTTCAGTCCTTGAACCTCCTCTTACTAACTGAGGGAACTTAAGCCAGTTACTTAACCTCTTTTTGCCTCAGATTCCTCAGCCGTAAAAGGAGGATGATAATAACACACAATAACACTGACAAATAGAAATGGCAAGCAATAGGATATATTGGAGTATATGAGGAAGCCACTTGTGTAAACCTAATTCTGCCTGACCTTGTTTTTCCAAAAGGGCCTGACTGTGGCCGTTGAGCATGCATTGTATATCTGCTTTAGACATTCCCTATGGCAAGAACAAAGGCCCTTGAGATAAAGGTGCAACTTCCCTCCCCCTCCCAATGTTGGCATGCATTTCCTTAAAGATTAAGCATCTTTCCTTAGGCTAGGAACTGATTGCTACGCTCACCTGTGACCACCGAGCTTGAGACAAGAGACTTGCTTCCTGCTGCGCCTGCCGAGATAGCAGACCTATCTGCTGTTTCCGTCAATCATTGTACCCAATCATTGTGCCGACAGAGCAGTCTCAGCAGTCTCTCGACCATTGTAAAAGGGACATTTCAGTCCTTTGTAAAACATCCTGTTTGAGGGTATATAACCACTCTGTACACCTCACTTCTTTGGTGCCCTTTCTTCCTTCAGGAAGAAAGGCCCTGGGCCATCATCCTCACATTTTAGGTCAGAATAAACTCACCCAGATTTTCATTTATAGATTGATTATGCATTATTTTCGTCGACAACGCATTTGATTCTTCCAACCGCCCCATGAGGTAACAGTAGTCCCTACCTCATTAAGTTGTTGTGAGGACCAAAGGAGTTAATCTGTGTAAAGCGGTTAGAAAGGTTCGTGACACATGCACTTATTTTTTACTACCAGCTAAAGTGGAACTGCCATGTAGTAATAGCATAAACACAGTTTATAATTTACTTGGCCCACCTACTTTGAGCTTTTGAGATTCCTGACTTTTATTTTTAATTTAGGAGATTTTCCTATTTCAAAATGAGTGTATATATTTGGACTTTATTCATCTTTTTATATATTGCACTATTTAGAACTTGTGTAATTAAGCATAAAATGAGTATGCACTATATGGGCTTTAGGTGAGAAAGTGCAATAGATTTAGGGTCCATTGCAATTCTAAAGGGCAGTTACTATTGATCAATATGCAAGGGCTCTTGTGGGTCTGAAGTGGTTTAGGGTGTGTTCATAACAGGCAGGCAACAAGCAAGAGGGCGTTAGAAGATGCCTGCCCAGGCTGACTTCAAGTAAAACTAGTGATGACACTTGCTGTGTGCCAGGCACTGTTCTAAGTCTTTAGACTCTGTATTCAATTCTTACAATACCTCCATGAGATAAATACTGTTAATGCCCCCATTTTACAGATGTAGAAACTGAGACACAAAAAATTTAAGCAACTTGCCCAAGGTCACCCAGGTGTTAAGTGGCAGGGCTAGAATTTAAACCTAAATATCTTGCCCCCAAAACCCAGGTGTAATTGTCTTACTACACCTCAAAAAGTTGTGATGTACAAAGTTCATCTTAGGTTCTTCCACTTTTTTCTCTCTTCACGGCCTGTTTATTTCTTAAATATGGCCCTATCTGCCACTGTAATGGGCATGGGTATGCTTATGCTAAACACTTTGGAAAATACAGAAAGATGGAAAGCAAAAAGATTCAAACATGATATTATCACCCAAAGATGACTATTGTTAAAATTTTGGTGTACTTCCTTCTAGACTTTTTTCTAAGCACATGGTTTTGTTTTAAATGTTTGTTTTACATAATTGTGATCAAATGTGTATACAATTTTAATTTTTCTTTTTTCCCTCATATTATTATAACACGCGCTATCCCATTCTATTAGAAATTTCACAATCTTCCTTTATATAGGGTGCATAATGTGCTATTGCATGGCAGTTCCATAAAATAGTTACCATTTCTTTCATGTTAGACATCTGAGTATTCCTGGCTCTTTTACTGTGAGATGAATATCTTGGTCCCCTCTTTCTTAATAGTTTATCTTCTTCTGACATTTCTTCAGATCTTCCTCAGGCACACAATGACCTTGATATCCCTCTATCCTTCCTTCTCTCAAAATTTACTTTCTGGAAAGGAGCTGATAAACGCATTCATACTAAAGTGTACATGATTCATAAAGCTTAATTTTTTTTATCTCTTCAAGGATACTTGTAAAATTTAACCCAAAGGAATGAAGCTCTAATTTTGGGGGTTGAGTCATCATAAAATCTAGTTGGGGAGATCCCCCACCCTTCCCAATCAGAGTAGACTCCACAATAGCAAAACGATTCAGGGCTCATTTAATGTTAGGAAAGCTGATGAGACGGCAGCCTAGAGCTGCGGAGGTGGTGATGCGGTAAGGGAGGGAAAGAGTTTGTATAAGCGAGGGTGAAAAAACTGGGTAGAATGGAAGAGAATTAGAAAATTCACTTAGCAGCGCAGAGTATTTTTGGCACCACTTACCTGGTGTCTCCAACTCTCCTGTGTTTGCCTTTCCAATGCATTTGGCCTTAGGGATGGGCCCGCCCACCTTCCCCTCAGAGCAGCTTGGTCGGGTTCTCAGTCCTAATTACTCTGTTAAGTCTCACAGTTTTGGGGCCTTCAGCGGAGCTAGTCGCAAGAAGCGAGAGAAAAGTTCTAAGAGGGCCCATTCCAAGCCCTTTGTCCACAGACACCCCTGCTGCAGCTTCAGCTCCCGCGTCTCAAAGCGGAGAGTTAATAGGACCTGTGTGGGATTTTGACTTGGGGGGTGGGATTAGAGGCCTGGTGTGAAAGTTCACAAAGTACCGTTCTGTCCCCCAGCACTCTTTCTTTCCCTCCTCCTAGAGGCTTCAGGCTTTCTAGGCTGCTGGCAAATCCGAGGCTGCGTGGGGCAGCAAAGGGAACCCGAGAGAACTCAATTTCCCCCAACTCTTCCCACCGGAAAGGGGACGCGTTCTCCGAAGCTGCACTGGGAATGGCTGGTGTGGAGAAAAGGGAAGGGATGGGGTGTGGAGGATGAAGTCCCAGCCAAAGGGGCTAGTGGCTCCGCCTCCTTTGGATTAGGGAAAGGAGGAAACCCTAAATCCGAAAACCTAGCCTGACCAAAGGAAAAAAAGCGAGAGACTCCAGCTGAAGGCTGGGGCGGGGCGCACGGTTCTCGCAGGAGCTTCCCCAGCTCCAGCAGCAGCGCTGGGCGCCCTCCCATACCTGCCCCACGGGGACCCTGGGGTCACCACACACGCACCCACCCGTCTTTCTCGACCCGCTGCTCCTCCCTCCTTTCTCGCTGGTTGGCCCCAGCGCCGCAGAGCGCGGCGGCAGCAGGAGGAGCCGGGCGCGCCCGCCACGCACAGCCATCGAGCTGGCACGGGTGGCGGGCGCGGCGCGCGATCTTAGGTGGCGGCAGCGGTGACAGCGGCAGCAGCAGTGACAGCGGCGGCTGCCGCAGCAAGCGCACACCGTTTCCGTGGCGTGCCCGCATCCCGCCTCCGCGCCAGGGAGCCGCCGGCTGTCTCCAGGTCCCTCGACCCGGCGCGCACAGCAGAGCTCCGCGGACAATAGCGGCCGCTGCGGCGGCGGCTCCGAACTCGGGCGCCCGCCATGGGGAAGCCGGCGAGGAAGGGATACGACTGCAAGCGCCTTCTGAAGAATAACTGGCTGCTGCTCTCCACCGTGGCCGCGGTGGTGCTAGGTGAGCGGCGTCGTGGGTGGGCGACGCGCGCACCCTCACGCGTTCCCAGCGCCCAGGCCGCGTGCGGGGCGGGCGCGTGCAAGGGTGGACAAGACGCTGGCGCACCTGGTGGCTGGGTCCCTCGCCGCACCCTTGTCCTCGGACCCTACGCGAGGGTTTCCCCCCGAGGGTGTTGATTTCTGCGTGCGAAGAATAAAGCTCCTCGGGGACTCCCATTTGGGTGATCCAGGACCTGCAGGTTCCTGCTTTACCCAAAATGATGAAAGGAGGAAAGGGAAGCAAGCAGCTCTAGGTTCTTCCCGTTTGGAAGTAAACATGGTTTAATTGTTTTTTTTAATCCTGTCTGCTCCCCCTCGCCCCTTTTTTTTCCTGAACCACGCTGCCCGGATAGAGATTGAGTATGGATTACGGTTCTCGGAGGGACTGGAAGAGGCACCTTAGCTTCAGGGAGAGCCGAGCCCGGGGAGGAGAGAGGGTGGAGGTATTGCCGTCACTCACCCTGGGCAAGCCTGGAAAGGTGCCTTCGCTCGGGGCGAGCGCCGACTGCCCGCGCTCCGGCTCTGAAAACCGGCCAGATTCATGCCCGAATTCAGGGGTGTGTAATTATGGCCCGCGGAGGTCACGGGGGAAGAGAGCAGACAGAACTCAGATTTCTCCTTTCCCACCCCGCTCATCCGCCGAGATAGCCTCCCTCAGCTTCTTTGTCTCCATTGTTTTTCTATTGAAAATTTTTAAGTCATGTTTGTTTGTTTTTAAACAAGGGTGTATTTAATGGATTAACTCCTGACAGATCGCTGGACTAGGTAGATGTCTGAGCCATTGCTTAGAAGTATGGGTTGTTCCTATTTAGATTCTGAATTTCTGTCAGGTTGTCTGTTTTACAACTTGGCCTCCGGGATGCTCTTCTTTGGGGTTGGAACCATGTCTCTCTCCTCTCCTCTATGAGCTTGCAAGGGTGGGGACACCCAGCAGGTGAGGCTCCTTGGCAGTCCCCACCTTCTGTTTGGAAACAGGAGCTGGGTTTGCTGGAAAGGGAAGGAGGGCGGCTTGTCCCTCTCCCCAACCTCCTGCACCTTCCTCTCCAGCTGCTCCTTCTGAATCTCAGAATATTTGGTGTTGCCTGCTTCCCCCTCTTGAGGCCCCCCCCCCCCCCCCCCCAGTCAAAAGAAGCCTGTGGAAGTTGATGGGATCCTCAGGGTCAGGTTTGCTCCTCCAGAGCCTTGTGCAAAGTAAGTCAAGTTTCTAGTAAATAAATAACATCCTGGAATTGCCTTAACAGAGGCCATTTGTGGGAGGAAAGAAGTAGAGAAGCAGGTATTGACTGCTTAACTATATTTCCCCCAAGAAGGGCCAGTTGGCTTAGGGCATTTTTCAAGGAAGGTTTATCCTTCCCCAGCACATTTAAATAGCAGATACTGTAAAGAGAGTGATTTGATTTCTCTGCAGCCAAATGATGAGATGGCCTTGTTTGTTTTCCTAGTGATAAGAGTTAATTATTAATTATTTAAATTAATTATTAAATCCCTCTTTTAAGGAGAGTTTCAGAGGTAACCCTAGGCTGGCATTTCCCTCCCAATTCCCCATGGAAGTGGAATAATCCTGCCTGATTCAGCCATGGGATTCTCTAGAGACACTCACCTATTAACCAAGTGTTGCACACCAGTGTCGAGTGTACCAATTCACTGGAGGCTGATTTGGAAAGGATTTTGAGCAGTTGTTCACTAGCCTTTGGAACATGTTTCTTAAGTACATCTTCAGGATCAAGAGGAATTACATACTCGTTTTGCAGATGTGGCCTTTGGTGTCAGATAGGCACTTTCCTCCAGTTTTAATGTGGTGAGCCCCAGGAGCTTGATTTAGATACTTTTTTTGAGGAAGGAAAACCATATAAAAATTGTAAGTGCCCTGCTGCAGTCTTCCTGGATATTTGCTCCTCCAGGGCAACCCCCCAGTGTTTCAGCTCTTGGTCTGAGAAGTGTCAAGCCTAGGACACCCGCAGTGTGCCCATACAGGCGCTTGTCAGGATCCTCCTCTTTTTCTCTTTCTCCGGAGCCCTGGGCCTGAGTGGAAATCATACATTTGTTGTGTAGTCTGCGCTAGCTCATTTGTTTAACCAAAAGTGAAATTCCAGCCAACTTTTAACAGTAATGCTAAGTCCATCGATAAGCCCTTGCTAGGTCATGATAGTAAGTTTATTTTTATAATGGTCTTAATTGATACAGAAAGTCACAAGTGCTTTCTCGCAGGTTCCTTTCTATACCTTTCAGCATGTGGATCTGAAAGAAGAAAAACTGTTAAATTTATTAACTACCCTGACAGAATGTCATCTTCTGATTACAGCCATCGAAATGTTTGGTCCTTGGTATAATTCAGCAACCCTGACACCTGAAAATATTTTGATTATGGAAATGAGGAGCAAAGGTTTTTATGAGCCAGCTTAAAGCTTCTGATATTTCAATACATAGCGTGTGAGAAGAAATGCAATTAAAAGTCATGGTTATTAGGTTAAAAGTTAATTCTTTTCATGGACAAGGAGATGCTAAGAGCTAAACATTTTCTCAAATTCTTATTCCCAAGGTAAAGGGATTGAATTGTTAAGTGACCATCTTCGTTCATTTTTGTGAAACCCAACAAGGTCATGGAAATAATATCTTGGATTTTCAGATGAGAAGCTCTTACTAAAATATCAGGAACAATTTTCATTGCTTTCATTACAATTCTTAGAGGCTTTTTCCCTGCTTATGTAGGACAGTAAGAATGAACACAGAGCTTGGAGTCAGAAATCCTGGATTTAAATTTTAGCACTACCAGGCTCTACCATTTAGACAAATCTCTTGTTCTCCAGGATCCTCAGTTTCCTCATCTGAAAAATAAGTATATTAGTCATTACCTCATTTGTTATTAAGGTTGCTTAAGATAGTGTGAAAATACTCAGTTGTGTGGCTGGCATATAATAAGCAATTAATGTTATTTTAAGGTAAATCTGAATAATTTGATTCTAAGGAAAATAATATTTGCTCATGAAATAAGGTCTCTCATAGTCTTTCTCTGTTCTGCTTAGTGTAGGGCCTATAATTTAGAGTCCAAGGTGATTCAAGTGTTTTGATGACATGCTCTGTGTAGGTGAACACCAGCCTCCAAGCATTATTCATTTTAAAAAAAGGATATGGGAAGGATATTGTTTTGTGCCCCTTAGCCTGATTCTCAATTCAGTTAACAGACAGAAATTCTGGAGGAAGAATTTTTGCGCTCCAAGTGGGAATTCTGTCCAAGCAGAATCACTGTGTGTGAGAATTCTGTGTCAGAGCATTCTGATTCAAGTCACCTAACAATGATCATATTGTATATAACGTCAGTAAAGCACTCGTGGAATCCTCACCCTGTTCGCAATGTAAAGCTTAATCTTGCTGTCCAGACAGGTTGTGCTTTATTTCAGTCATTTGAAAAATCTGATTTCCAGTTTATGGATTTTCAGGAAAGGAAATAGATGTTATTTACATGACAGAGCTGGCAAGCTTATTCATTCTGAATAATCTTCTTCAGAGCGCCGAGGAAGCAATCACTTATAGATTCAGATTCCATTGTCTAAAATCAAGAACAATTCCTTCACATTCTTAGTAATACCTTTGCCCCAGCTTCGCATCTCCTGTGCTGGAGCTCTCGTAGCGTATATCTGGCAGTGCTAATTTAAGTTGTGGTTTATGCTTTCTTGCCTGTCTGTTTTTATGTGTCTGTGAAACCCCTGAGGACTGGGGGTCGGCCACAGCTCAGGCTGGTTCCAGGCCCAGCGCCTCACCTGCACAGAGCTTTGTGCATGGCAGTGTTCAGAATGTATTTCGTTATCAGTGAAGCTCATTTGCTCTGGCAAGTCCCAGGCCTGGTCCTAATCAGCTCAACTTTGGAATATACCTGCAGTAACCAACACTTAGGTGATTCATTCATTCAACAAATATATATTGGGCACCTACTGTGTGCCAGGGACTGTTCTAGAACCAGGGTGCACAGCAGTGAACAAAACAATAAAAACCCCTGTCCTCGTGGAACTTACATTCAAGTGGAGAGAGGTAGACAGTAAACAGAATAAATAGGTAAGACACAGTATAGAGCATGTTAGATGGTGAGACCGCTCTAGAGTAACATAAAGCAGGGAGGGAGAGGGCCGGCCCGGTGGCACAGCGGTTAAGTTCGCACGGTCTGCTTCTCTGCCGCCCAGAGTTTGCTGGTTCGGATCCCGGGTGTGGACATGGCCCCACTTGGCAAAAGCCAAGCTATGGTAGGCGTCCCACATATAAAGTAGAGGAAGATGGGCACGGATGTTAGCTCAGGGCCAGTCTTCCTCAGCAAAAAGAGGAGGATTGGCAGTAGTTAGCTCAGGGCTAATCTTCCTCAAAAAAAAACAGGGAGAGAGTTGGGGGGTGACAATTTTAAATAGGGCGATAGGGAAGGCCCTGCTGAGAAGGTGACAATTAATCATAACAGGAGGTTAGGAGGGGGACAGAGCAATAGGATGGTGGAAGCTCTTAGAAGGACTTTGACTTTTGCTGGGAAATGGGAAACCATTAAAAGGGTTTGAGCAGAGCAGTGACATGGTCTGGTTGTGTTTTAATCAGCTCTCCTGGCTGCTGTTTTGACCACAGACTGTGGAGGCAAGGGTGGAAGCAGAGAGACCAGTTTAGGAGGCTAGTGCAGTTAATCTGCTGTGTATTTTACTTACTCTACTTTTCTAATCTCATTTGCATCATGGCTAGTGAAACCTTAGGAAATGCTTATGAAAAATCAATGAAATTTTGTTTTCAACTATAAAGTAGGCATTGTTATTTTCCCATTGTATGGATGAGGAAACTGAGACTCAGAACAATGGAGGACTTGCACAGGATCACTCAGATGATAACTGGCAACACCACACCTTCCATTCCTTTCCTTCTCCTCCTTCGGGCTGCTTCTCCTCCTCTGTCTTGCTCCCATCGCTCTGTCATATGTGGTCCTTGCTGACCCTTCTG